TAAAAAAAATTATATATTTGGGTGTGTATAATATATAATATATATAATATATATTATATATTATATATAATATATATATATATATGTATATTACAAGTTGCGTAAGTAATAAAAACACACGCGAATGATTTCATCTTAAACGCAGGTATAAATCTATTATGCAAGATCGAAATATATTGTCTTACAGTACATTTATAAATAATTCTATATTATAATAAATTCTGTACGATATATTATATTATTACCGATATATTTCGATATATTTCATTTAATTTATCGAGTTGGAGTTAACAGTAATTACTATTTCACTCAAGTAATCATAAGAAATATGTTTCTTTAAAATCTTTTAGCAATAATACATAATTTCCCATGAATTGATTTTTAATACCTGCATTTTTGTATATACCACCATCTAGTTATGTAAAATGACTCCATATTATTATACAAAGAGCATTATTATTCATTATATCTATGTAAATATGTAACTGCCTAAATACGAATAAAACCAGAGGATATATCGCTGCACATTATCTTAATTTATTTCTTAAATTCAATTTAGTTAAAATATAAATTTATGTATTTATTGCTTCTTGATAACGTTGATAACAGATTTCAAATAATATAATAATTGATTGGAACATTGAGACTGAATTATACAATGTACAATAAATTATACAGCATATGAAAAATTGAATAAATAAAAAAATTTAGTTTATCAATCCCCAATTTCGAAGAACATCATCTTGAGCAAGAGGCCAAAGCTTCTTTAATAACGACCATCCTTTTTGTGTAGTAAGCAAATATTCATTTTGTGGATCATGAAGATAGGAATAAGCACCCATAATCAAACTTTGACAAATTCTTGCACAAACACTAATTTTCAAAATTTTCTTCTCAAGATCTGTCAGCTTTCTAATATCCTGATAACCTTCGATTACATATTTACCCATCGCTATATCACCAGTCTGTAAAATCATATAGCACAGCGCGATAGCTAATTCAAAGATTAAGCATGTTCGATGTGCATCACCAAAATCGATGACTGCAAATATTTCTTTGCCATTCGAGTTTATCACTAGATTTTGTTCATTTAAATCTCCATGTATCATGCCTTGTTCTAACTGTGAAGTGATTTGAAGCACGTCCTTTTCGAAAGCTATTATTACCTCATGCGCTAACTCTCTTTCGAATACATTTTTTATAGCATAGGTAAATTGGTGTAATTGTGGTACGGAATTTAACATCCATAGTGTTTTGTGATGATTATAAGCTGGATGGGAAAAAGTCATTAGAATATTATCAAGTCGGGCTATAAAATTGCCTATATTTCGTAGCAAATCTCCAGTAATTGGTACACGATGTAACAATTCACCAGATCGATAAATCAACAATCTGATAGCATAACTTTCAGAATATTCATTATTCATTTTAACTAGAGTGTAATACAATCCATGTATATTTTTTACAGGCAAAGGACAATTAATACCTTGCTGATGTAAAAATATTAACATTTCAGTTTGTGCTTCAATCACGTGTGTTTTCTGCGAATCCAAAGAATTAACGATCTTCAAAACATAGCCATATTTACTTATGATCGTTATATGAGGATTCATATGAGTTTCTTCACAAATTACATGATAATTTCTGTCATCATATGCATTTAATTCAGATATACTTAAAGTTTTCAAACCATAAAGTTCTTCTAAAAGTTGTAAAACTTTTTGTTTGTTGCCAGGTGGACGAATCCGTTGACCCGGTATTAACATATTATTTTTGTTCTTCATATCCATTTTATTTCTAAAAATTTTTTAAAATAAAATATATGTATTAAAATTTTTAAATTTTATCAATTAATTACAAAATAAAAGATAAATTTAAAATAAAAATATTACAAACAATTTTTTATAAAATAATTTCGAAATTATAAACAATAATAAATTTTAAATTTTATATTATTAATTTTAAAACACAAATTACTTACCTATTTTAAAAAAAATTTTTCTTAATTCGTCTTTTCTTAATTAATCTATTAAATTACAAATATAAATTTGAAAAAAAAAAATAATGATTACAATTTTATTTTTTATATATAAATATAGAATTATTATTTAGAATATAGAATTATTATAAAAATATTAGTTTCAAATAAAAAAAATTCAAAAATACTATAAATTCACGATATGTTCACGAATGAAGCAGTTCAGAAAATGAATTGTAGGACAAGATACGCAATATACAGTTGACTCTCAATTAATTCTACGATAGGGCACAAATGCACGATGATTGATATTTATTGCTCGTTGTTACTCGTGATTTAGTACAAACGCTTAAAGTATCTTTAATAATATACATATTCTGATACCAAGACAATAAGCAATCTCTTATCACAATGATAAGAATAATAATTATTCATTATCATTCTTGTCCCAAATATTAATAACATGTCAAATAAAACTTTAATAAATTCTATATTTTCAATTTTTAAAAAATTAAATTATAAGCCAATACAATTTTTAATCATAATTAATATTCAATAAAATTATTTGATTTATGTTAATTTATATTTGTTTTTTCAAACTAGATATATATTATAATTTTTTATTGATGAAAATAATTTTCAATAATCAATAATTTCAATAATTCAATTTCAATAATTCAATTTCAAGAATTCAATAATTCAATAATTTTCAATAAATTTCATTCAAAATAGTTTCGAAAAAAATTTGAATTTGAAATATCCGCTCTATACTTTTCGAGATATTAATTTTATTTATTATAATTATAATTATAATTATGCATTAAAAATTTTATATCTAACAAACTATATTTACATTATATGTACATATATGTATATATATATGTTATATATACATGTTATATAATTATATATATATATATATATATATATATTAATTCAATAATTACTCTCGATTCAAAAATATAAATTTAAGAATAAAAAAAGAATTCTACATTTTAATTAATAATGAATGTAATGAATATCTTACCATACAGTTTCTATATTATAAAAATAAATTAAAAGTATATTACTTTTAAATTTAAATAATTATTTTTAAAAATAAAAATTAAAATATTACATATTATAAGTAAAAATATACAAAAGAAACTGAACGATTTTTCTATTAAAACATATTGCATGAACTATTTAATATTAAAGAAAGCATATATAGAAACGTAAATCTACATTTATAACCAATAAAATTGGACAATAATATTTTGTGAAATATAACTGTAGTATGCAATCTATGAATTATTATTTCGTGGTATAATTATGCGGGAATACATTGAATGAATATTTGATATATATATAGTATTTTGAAAAGATAATTTTTGAAATATTTTTATAAAATTGTACAATATTTTATAATTATTTAGGATTATTTTTTACTTAACGTATAAATATTAGTACTTTTTCTTATATAAAATCATGGCTGTCCAACCAAATCAACAATTTAATATGGGTGAGTAAAATATAATATAATTTTAGAAATTAAGTTTTTATTTTATATATTTAGATTTTATTAAATAATTTTATGTAATATTGATTCCAGACTCATCAAGTCAACAAAGTTTTGTTAGGTTTTTTAAAAATTTACCAGAAGTAAGTAAATATGATTAATTGTATATATATTATTGTTGATTTTTTTTGTTATGATCTTTTTTATATTTATGATTATGTAATATTTAGTATAAAGAATAAAAAATAAAAATTAAAAAATATAAATTCATTTATTTAAATAACAATCTAAAATATATAATAACTATATAATAATAGAATTTTATGTAATACTACATTAAAATCCTAAATATATTAAAATATATTAAATTAGTACCACATATTAAATTAACAATCTGAATGATTTTGATAAAGATCTGATAAATTTTATTTAAAATCTATATTGTGAAAAATATATTACTTATAAATAGATATCTATTTTAAAAATTTGTTTTTAAAAATTTATATTTATCCAAAAATATTTCTAGCTTTTTCTTTAGCTTTGTCTATTGTAGTTGCTATTTTATGACTAATTCTTGACCAAATGGATGATGGATGAGGTGCTTCAGTAGTAATATTTGTGTCCAATGGTTCTACAGATAATAATGGTGGCATTAATTCAGTTGTTGTTAATATTTCTGGTTTTTCTCTAATATCCCATGGATCTGTATTGCTTATAGATGCTAATGTAGCACTAGGATTTATTGTCACTTCTGAATATATATCATCGCTATGTGTTGGATCATATTGCCCACCTCCATAAACTTCTAAGATTCTTGGCTGTAATTTAGGTTCTCTAAAAATTCCAGAATCTGCCTGTAAATTTCCTTTTATTTGTTCATTAGATATAAATTTATTTTCATTTTGAACATAATCATTTCTTAAAGATTTATCTTTTTGTTTAGATATATAATTTTGAGATTGCCAATCTGATTGTTGATGTGAATTATCCATTATGTATTTATTTTGTGATTCTTTATTTAAATTTTGTTCTAAATTAAAAAATTGTGATTGCATTGATTGTTGCAAATTTTCTTTATCTTTTTGTTCTGTTTGTTGTACAAATTGTCTTTGGTCACTTGGATGATATGTATAATGCCATTGTAAACCTACAGTTGCATCATTTGATTTGTGTAACCAATTTACTTGGTCTACATTACTTCCTTCAATATCATATAAATTAGTTCCACTATGTTGATTTAAATTTTTAGACAAATCTATATTTTCATTTTCTTCTTGATTTGTTGTTGTATTTTGATTTCCTTTATTATCATCAGCTTCTACATCCATGTTTGGAGGTAATTCATAAATATGTGATGCATCAATATTTCCATTATTGTGATTCATAATATCTTCATCATTGATATTATGTACATTATGATGTGATCCATATCTTGAATATCTTGATCTTGGTTTGGGTTTATCTGCAGGTTTTGGAAAATGTGAATCATTTCCCAAATATTCTGGTATAATACTTATTTGCAGAGATGAATCTTTTTCTGATTCTTGATTAAATTCAAGTTTATCAGTACTTTGTTTAGTAAAATCATCAATCTGCTCTGTAAAATCCAGATTAGTATTATTTGGTTTCCATGGTTGATAAGTTTGTTGTGATATTTGCTCAAATTCAAATTTCCCAGAAGTTTGTTGAATAAGATCTTCAGATCCATTTTTTTGAGTAAGATGAACTAACTGTTGATCTGCATTACTTGATTCCCATGGTTGATGTGTTTGTTGTGAATCTTGACCAAATTCAAACTTTCCAGAGATTTGTTGAGTAAGGTCCTCAGATCCACTTGTTTGGTGAGTAAGATGAATTAATTGTTGATTAGTATTATTTAATTCCCATGGTTGATATGCTTGTTGTAAATTTTGACCAAATTCAAGTTTTCCAGATATTTGTTCAGTAAGATTCTCAGATCCATCTTTTTGCTGGGTAAGATGAGTTAATTGTTGGTCAGCATTATTTGTTTTCCAAGATTGATAAGATTGTTGTAATTTTTGATCAAGATTTTTAGAGACATATTGACTAAGATCATCAAAATTACCTATTTGTTGAGTGTAATCTTCTTTATTATTATTATTATCATNNTTTCCAAGATTGATAGGATTGTTGTGAATCTTTACCAAATTCAAGCTTTCCAGAAGTTTGTTGTGAAAAATCATCAATTTCACTTGATTGTTGGAAAAAATCATTTAATTGTTGATTAGCATTATTGGGTTTTCCAGATTGTTGCGAATCTTTATCAAATTTAATCTTTTCAAAAATTTGTTGTGTAAGATCATCAGATCCACTTATTTGCCAATTAAAATTATTTAATTGTTGATTAACATTACTAGGTTTCCAAGATTGATAAGATTGTTGTGAATCTTGATCAAATTCAATCTTTCCAGAAATTTGTTGAGTAAAATCAGATCCACTTGTTTGCTGATTAAAATCATTAAATTGTTGATTGGCATTATTTGGTTTCCATAATTGAGATATTTGTTGTGAATCTTGACCAAATTCAAATTTTCCAGATATTTGTTCAGTAAGATTCTCAGATCCATCTTTTTGCTGGGTAAGATGAGTTAATTGTTGATCAGCATTCTTTGTTTTCCAAGATTGATAAGATTGTTGTAATTTTTGATCAAGATTTTTAGAGACATATTGACTAAGATCATCAAAATTACCTATTTGCTGAGTATAATCTTTTTTATTATTATTATTATCACNTTTCCAAGATTGATAGGATTGTTGTGAATCTTTACCAAATTCAAGCTTTCCAGAAGTTTGTTGAGTAAAATCCTCAGATCCATTTGTTTGCTGATTAAAATCATTAAATTGTTGATTGANNATTATTTGGTTTCCATAATTGAGATATTTGTTGTGAATCTTGACCAAATTCAAATTTTCCAGAAGTTTGTTGAATGATGTCATCAGTTTCAGTTGTTTGCTGGGTAAAATCATTTAATTGTTGATTTGATTTCCATGGTTGATAAGATTGTTGTAATTCTTGGTTTAAATCATTATTTCTTGAATTCTGTTGTGTAAAATCATCATTTTGTGTAGTTTGTTGATTAAAATCATCTATAACATGTTTATTTACTATTTGTTGCACTTCATCTTCTTTGTTATGCATTACATTGCGCTTATATTTTTTTAAATATTGTGAACTGCCATGTGAATGTTGTGAATTATATGCACAATCTATAGTATCTCCTATTTCACTTAAATCACTTGCACTAGTCATTAATTTTTGTGACATTATGTTTCTATCACTATTGAAATCATTTTCTCTAAATTGATTTAAATTACTATCATGTCGTATATCTTGATTTAAATTATATTTGTTGTTATATTGATCATTATTGTATTGAAAATGTTCTTTATTGTTATGTAAAATATCTGTAGAATATAGAGGAACAGATGCTTGTTTTGTATGACTAGAACTCCAGTGTTCTTTATAATGAGATACTTGTTTTGGTATGCTTGAATGAATTATGCTGCTTTGACTCTGCGCATTATTTCTTAAATTGTCGACTAACATTTGATTCTGAACAAATCTTGATTGATGTGCATCTAAAATATCTGTTTGTTGTAAATTATCTGTATGTTGTAAAATTGATCCACTAAATTTATTTCTATTGTAATCATTATTTCCAATATTGAGTGTACTAGTATATCCTGATGTAGGATTAATAAGTTGATTAGTTGGTTGAAGCTTCTTTACATATCCTTCATGTTTTTCATACATACTGTAACTATTTTCACCATAAGTATTTTGGTAAGGATTCCTATAAGGTAAATGTTCATTTGTTATGTCTGAAGATTGTTGTTCTTCATTATGATGTGTTCTTGAATTTCTATAGTTATATTGATCTCTATAATTATCACTATTTTTATTATAAATATTATCAGTAGGCAAGTCATGAATATTAAAATATGTTTGTCCAATATTAGTGGATCCTGTGGTTTGTGTAGAAATTTGATCAAATCCTTTTCCAATTTCTTTATGAAATTTTTCTATCTTTGTTTGTACATCTTGCATTCCATTTTTAGTAAAATCAGGAATAGACATTCCATCAGATGAACTGTAATTAGAAGTATAATTTCTTTTATAATAACGAATTTTTTTAGCTCCTGATACATATTGACCTTTTTCTTCAAATACACGACCATGTCCTCCATCAGTTTTATATGAATCTATTGTACTCCAATTTCCAGACTGCATATTAATATGATAAGGTTCTTGTGAAATTTGTGTATTCAGATTAGATATATCTTGTTGATTAATCTGTGAATTTTTACTATATTCTCCAAGATTTTCAAGTCTTTCATTTTGAACATTAGTTTTTCTATGTGATGATTCAACATGTGGTTGATTCTTTATTGTATTGTATTTATTTTGCTGTATAATTGATTCTGAATTACTCATTTGATTATAAGTATGTTGATTAACTATGTCTTCTGTATTGGATATATGTTTGTTATTATTTTGATTAAAATTTGATATTTTCTCACCAACAGGATACCATGTATCATAAGAAGAATAATTTTTCTTATAATATCTTACTGTCTTAGGACCTTCGACATATTGGCCTCGTTCTTCATGTACTTTTCCATGTCCATTATCTATATTATAGTCTTTATGTTCAGACCATGTTCCAGGTTTTGAATAATCAAGACTTTGTAAATATGAAGCAGTTTGTGATAAATCAGCATGTTTTCCAGAAGTTTGATATTGTGTCAGATAAGAAGTACAAGATTCTATGCATCCACTTGGTGCACATAATGTATGTGTTATTAATAAAAATAAAATGGCAATATTTTGTATTACCATGTTAATCATTTGATCTCTGTAAATATTAAATAAAAAGTTTAATTATTTTTTAAAAACTAAATAAAAACTACATAATCTAAAAAAAAATACATAAATCAATTTTGAAATTATCATAAGATATATTTCATATTCTACATTTTATTTGTCAAAAAAAAAAAATAATTACAATTGAAATATTATATTAAAATTAAATAAAATAAAATTAAAAGTTTAATTACCGTATGGTAAAAGATCAAAATTCACTTAATTCAGAGCTTAGAATTGATGATCTCACTCAATGACAGTATGTATTGATATACTACATGCAAGTTGGAGCAATACCATTTATGTTAGTTCCCCCTTCTTCATCATATCTTTGAAAACATTCTCTTTCATTCTTATGATGATAATATTTTCTGTGCATTTATTCCAGTTCATATATATTCTTATCTCTTTTAAATAATTCACAAACTATTAATATCTTTAAACTGAGAAATATTTGTCATTTAATTTTGTAATATTATTTGTAATATATTATTATTAAAAAATCTATTTAATTAAATAATTTATTAAAAACATTTAATTATTTATATATTATGTACATTTTAAATTAAACATTTAATATAATTTTTTTTAATATTTTAATTATGATTTATTATATTTATTATATTAATAATTTATAAGATATAAAAAAATTTATAAAATAAACAAATATTTCATGAAATAAATTCTTAGAATTATTAAGAAAAAAATTATTATATATGAAACATATGTATGTAATATATTATTTTCTTACATTTTTCTTGTAAATGTGTAAAAATAACTTTTCTATTTCTTAGTAATAATTATATAGATAATTTCCAGAAATTGTTTTGTTAATTTGATGTGTCATCAATGATATCATTCTTGTATAATATTCTTGTTATAATAGATTAATTTATTGTTATTTTATAATAGCTATAAATATAATTTCAGGTAATTAAAGATAATCATTCAAATGATCATTGAACACATCAATAAATCTAATGCACATTTATGTCTATCTTTTATTTTCGATTCTAAAAAAAGATATTTTTAAATGAAAAAACATTGTTTAATAGAATTATATTTCAATTTATTTTATATTTATTATATATTTATATAATAATATAATATTATATTATATTAATATAAATAATATAATATATTATTATATATTTTATATATATTCATGTAAAAATATATATAATAAAATATTATTTAAGCAATTAAATTATAATAAATTAAAATAATTCATGATGTTTTTAATGCCTTACATATGGTATTGATCTTTTTGGAATATAAACTGTAATATTTTTTATGACATAAAAAATGAATAATATTTGCAAGATAATATCATTATTGGAATTTTTGCATTTTTTCTTTTTAATAAATTATTTTTTAATTGTAATTATATTAATATATTTTTATATAATTGATATATAATTTAATAAATATTAAATTAATTTATAATTCTCACTACTCTTGTTCAAATATTTTTAATTTCAAATATTAAAATATATCAAAAAATAAATAAATTTAATTGTATTTAATTATCTTTTTTATCATATTAGATGATTTTAAATTGATATATTTTTCCATAATATAACAAATTTCCTTGAACTCATACATATAACATTAATAATAATCCATGACTTTTTGACCCTAGATAGACATTGACCTACAGATATTCTTCATAAAGTCTTTCTTGAAAACAAGTATAATCATAATTAAATATAATAATTATAATTTGGTAATAATTATACTTTTTGTATTAAATTTTTAAATAATTTGTAAAAAATTATTTTTAAATTTTTTCTTTTAAATTAATGAGAATATTAAAATTTTTTTACTTATGTAAAAATAACATTACTTTTAATGCTAAAATATCATTTAATTATGTATACATATAATAATATAATATAAAATTTTAATATTTATAAGTTTAAAAATATATATTATTTATAAAAAAAAATGCATAATTATAAAACACATATATAATTTAATAATAATATGATTTCAGAAACTGAATACCACAGTACGTTTTTTTAATAGATCAGATTATTATACATTACATGGTAATGATGCATTATTTGCTGCACAAGAAATTTTTAAAACTACATCCGTTTGTAAAATTATAGGTGCAGGTAAGAATTTTAATTTAAAATTTTAATATTTATAATTTAATAAAAATATAATAAGTTTTTAAAATTTTAAAATTTTAATATTTAAAACAGATCCATATAAAACTGAAGGAGTTATTCTTAACAAAAATCATTTTGAATCTTTTATACGTGATTTATTATTAGTAAAACAATACAGAGTAGAAGTTTATATTAATCAAGGAACTGCAAAAAATCAAAATTGGATATTAGAATATAAAGGATCTCCTGGTAATTTAACACAGTTTGAGGATATATTGTTTGGCAATAATGATATTGCTGTTAGTGTTCGTGTTATAGCAGTGAAATTAGGAATGGAAGGAAAATTTAGAGTGAGTAATTATAAAACACATTATAATAAAAAAAATTTTTGCTAAAAAATTTTTATTTTATTATATTTTACAATATTTTTAGATTGTAGGTTTAAGCTGTGTAGATACTACGGCAACTTTATTTTCTGTTTGTGAATTTCAAGACAATGAATCATTTTCTAATTTGGAATCATTGATTGTTACGCTTGCTCCTAAAGAATGTTTATTAATTCAAGGCGAAGGCAGCTATGAATTTCAAACTTTAAAACAAGTAAACAAGATAAATAAAAATATTTTTTTTATACAGAATAATTAATTTAAAAATTTTATTGATACAATCATAACATTTATTTCTTTCTTTCATCTTTTTTTTCTTACTTAGCTAATAGAACGAAATAATGTGATGATTACTACAAGAAAAAAAAATGAATTCTCTAGTGAATCAGTTATACAAGATTTAAATACTTTAATAAGATTCAAGAAAGGTCAACAACAAAATGTACAATCTTTACCTGAAGTTAATTTAACTTTTGCTATGTCAGCTACTTCTGCTCTTATTAAATATTTAGATGTAAGTATTGCATACTGATAAAAAAAATATTGTTCTTTAATTTAATTTTATACTTATACTATGTTTTTTAATTTTATACTTTTATATTATGTTTTTTCATTAGTTAACATCAGATGAAGGAAATTTAAATCAATTTAGTATAGATCAAATAAAGCAATCACGTTATTTAAAGTTAGATTCAGCTGCTATAAAAGCACTTAATATTGAACCACGTATTGATACTTCTTGTGTTTTAAATGGAAATGCACCTACAAGTATTTTGAATCTCTTAGATAAATGTAGAACTCCACAAGGACATAGACTTCTTGCACAATGGATTAGACAACCTTTAAAAGATTTATCACTTATAAAAGAAAGACATGATATTGTTGAAGCATTAGTGAATGATAATGAATTACGATCTAATCTTAATGAAGATCATTTAAGACGCATACCAGATCTACAAGTACTTGCAAAAAAATTGGCTAGAAAAAAAGCAACTTTACAGGATTGCTATAAGTAAATAAATTATATATTTTTTAATATTTTTATATATAATTAATAATTTATTAATCGTTTTTATTTCAGGATTTATACATGTATATCACATTTACCTATATTATTAGAACAATTTCTTAAAATAAATATAATAGCTTTAAAAACAATGTTTACTGATCCTTTAAGTGAATTTATTAAAGATATGAATAAATTTCAACAAATGGTTGAACAAACAATTGATTTAGATTCTGCTGAAAAAGGAGATTTTTTAGTACGATCTGAATTTGATGATGAATTAAAAGGTACTCATAAAATCTTTTAAATGAATATATATATATATGTATATATATATATATATATTTATGTATATTATATGCATTAAATTTTTTTTTACATTAATTTATATTTACTAATTATATCCATTAATATTAGAATTAAAATGTACTATGGATGAAATAGAGATAAAATTGCAAGCACAATTGAATAAAGTTGCTGATGATCTTTCAATCGAAGCTGGAAAAATATTAAAATTAGAATCAAATCAACAATTTGGATATTATTTCCGTGTAACATTGAAGGAAGAAAAGGTATTAAGAAATAAAAAACAATATATTATTTTAGATTCTAATAAAAGTGGTGTACGATTTCGAAGTAATAAATTAAATGATTTAAATGATGAATACATTGCTATTAGAGATAAATATATAATGGAACAAAAAAAGGTTGTTGCGGAAATAATTGAAATTGCAGGTTTGTATAAATACATAAAATATTTAAATATTTAATATTATTATTAAAATATTAAATAAAGAAGCAATATAATTATAGCATTTTTATTATTATATTATAAAAATTATATAGCTGGTTATAGTAATACAATAAAAGCTATTGGAAATGTATTAGCATCACTTGATGTACTTACTGCTTTTGCTTCTGCTGCTATATGTGCTAATAAACCATATGTGCGTCCTGAAATGCTCCCTAGTGAAAAAGGAGAATTTAATCTTATTCAAGTTCGACATCCATGTTTAGAAGTTCAAGAAGGAGTAGATTATATAGCTAATAATATCAATTTTAAAAGAGGTAATATTTTTATAAATATAAAATATAATAATTATTTTTATAATAAATTATATTAGAGGAGAAAAAAATTAAAATTATAGGAGAATGTCATTTTTGTATTATTACCGGTCCAAATATGGGAGGTAAAAGCACATATATAAGATCTGCTGGTGTCAGTGCTCTCATGGCACATATTGGAAGTTTTGTTCCTTGTGATCAAGCAAGAATATCATTATTAGACTGTATATTAGCTCGTGTAGGAGCTGATGATTGTCAATTGAAAGGACTTTCTACATTTATGATGGAAATGATAGAAACTGCTGCTATATTAAAGGTAATTAATAATATTTATAGCATAAAATAATAATTAAAAAATATTTTATACAATTTCAGACAGCAACATGCAATTCATTGGTATTAATTGATGAATTAGGCAGAGGAACTTCTACTTATGAAGGTTGCGGTATAGCATGGTCAATCGCCGAGTAAGATTTAAAACATCTTTTGAATTTATTAAATTTCCTTATATATTTAATATAATTTTTTATAGATATTTAGCAAAAGAAATTAAATGTTATTGTCTTTTTGCAACACATTTTCATGAAATAACTAAATTGGAAGAAGAAATATCTACTGTTAAAAATCAACACGTTACAGCTCTTGTAGATGATAATAAATTAACTTTATTATATAAAATAAAACCAGGAATATGTGATCAAAGTTTTGGCATACATGTTGCTAAAATGGCTAATTTCCCACAAGATGTTATTGAGGTAAAATTTTTCTGAATTCACTTGTAAATTTA